ATGGATATGGTATATTCTAACCTCCCAATCCCTATCTAAACTTCTACGAATTCTGCAGATAATGGAGAAGAGATGGTGATGCTAAGGACAACCCTCATTTGCTAGCAGAATAGCTGTTTCAGAGTCTCCTTCCAACAAGACCCTACGAAACCCTTCATCCCAAGCCACTTGAAGATCCCACAACATCCCCTAGAGCTCAGCCTTCAAGGAGTTACCCATGCCCAGGGATTTGTAGAACCCCATGATCCATCTACTCGTGCAGTCCCTTGTGACCCCTCCACAGGAAGTTTGAGAGCCTGTCGAAGAGGCTGAACCATCGCAGTTGACCTTCACCCAGTCCACTGGAGGAGGAGACCACACAATGAGCTTCTCCGTTCTAGGCTTCTTCCCTGTGACCACCTTGCCAAACATGTGTTGGGCGTGGTTAAAGTTTTGAGCAAAAGCAGTGGCACATGCACTACGCTAACAGCATTGGAGGACTTGTTGTTGAACACAAGATTATTGCGCTCTTTCCAAATCATCCAACATGTCACTCCAAATACCGTACACCAATCCTCTCTCCCAGAAGCCCTCTGCACACATTCTAGGTTACCAACCAGCCAGTCATGCAAATTGCCAGTTAGGAAATAGTTCACGTTTCTAGCTCCACAGAGAGCACTCCAAACCTGAATAACCCACGGGCATTCCCTAAATATGTGATTACAGTCCTCGGTATGAGAGTTACATCTAGGACACGTTGCAAGGCTGGTCATGTGTCTTCTCGCTGTTCGCTGTTCGTAAGGACATGTTTACTTATTTATGTTACTACATTAGGATTAGTCTCTCTCTATATATAAATAAATCTAAATATTGTGATAGGATCCTTTGACACTGGTGTTAAAATTTGACATCCAATCCTAACCGTTGATTTCCGTCAATCAACGATTATCATTTACTGAAAATTAATAGTTAATTAATAAATTTGATTTTCAATAAATGATAACCGTTGATTGACATAAATCAACAGTTAAAATTTGGTGTCAAAATTTAAAATTTAACACCATTATCAAAGAATCTTGCCTATATATATATATATATATATATATATATATATATATATATATATATATATATATATATAGGGTTTACATTTCTGCAGCTGCTGTACGTGCAACAAAACAATCAAATACTTGTCATATATATGCTTGAAAGCATTAAATGCTGGGAATCATAACCATACAAAGGATGAAAGCATTAAATGTGGGGAATCATAACCATACATCTGTCGTTGTTGTACATAAAGCGGCTGCAGAAATGATTTTACCATATATACATATATATATATATATGGGCTTATCATTTCTCAAGTTGTTTGAGATACTTTTATCTTCGGCTATTAAATCATAACCGTACAAAGATGAATCAATGCTAATGAAAGAGGAGAGAGAAAAAGAGAATCATAACCATTTAAAGATGAATCAATTTATATATATATATATAAATGATTTATACTTTTGAGCCTATTAGTAAATGCTAGGCTAATGCAATTACCCATAGCTGCTGGGCTTTGGTAATGGAGTTGAGTTAATATTTACTAATTGGTCTCTCTTCTTCTCGCTGTTTCTCACACTCTTTCTTTCTCCTACTCTTTTTCTCTATCGATTTATGTTGTTTACAATCTAAATTTATATTTGAATCTAAATCCACACAAAGATTAATGGCATGATAGTTCTGCTGGATGAGTGTAATTTTCAAAATTTCTTGAATCTAATATAATTGAACACGGGAGAAACCACAAAATTACAAAAAAGCAAAAACCACGAATAACTCTTCATTTGAATTAATCCACGATTACCATAATGTTTCTACTTTGCTGTTGAAATTTGAATTGAATCAACTTATTTCCTTCTTCTTATCTTGTTTCTCACCTTGAAGTAGGGAAAATAACTATGTATGTTACGCAACAACAGTCCTACCTGGTTCCATAACTTAGGACTCTGGGTTTATTTCTTCTTGACACCACATTTTACTTTTTTATGTAAATGCTCATAACAATGGCTGGGTTAGATGAATTGAGAAAAAAATTTGCACCTTTTTTTGATGTTGAAGCACCATTGAAGAAAGAGAAAAGGGAGAAGAGAGAAAGAGTGAGAAGCAGTGAGAGAAAGAAAGGGGTAAAAGAGTTTATTTTATATCGTAAATCTCTAACGTTCGATGAGATTGTAATCTAACGGTATCGAAAGGGGTAGGTAAGGGTAGACGAAATAAGAGTAAGCATAATAATTTATCCCATATTATATATAAAATGATAATGTAATGTAATGATGTAATATGATTAAATTGAATAATCAATTAAAATGTAAAAGAGATCTGCTGAAAAAATGAATTTGTCATGAATATGGGTTCAGTGGATGTCCTTTAAAAAGACACAAGTTGTATTCTTTTAGCGGTTTACACAAAGTCTGACCAGTAAGGCTTTGTGTAAATTTGAAAAGTTAGTTTTTTTTTTCACTTTACACGTCAGCTATGTGACTGAGGAAAGAAAAAAAAAGTAAATTTTCATATTTATACAAAATCTTACTAATTAAATTTTGTATAAATTATCTAAAATGACACAAGGTTATATCTGTGCAAAAGATAGTTCTTTTTCCCCGTGAATATAGCCATGTTTCATGTTGCGTTTCAAATCTTACTTCTACCGCAGCCCAACAAATCATTATAGTTTCTTTTAAAGTTGGGAGTGCAGCCTATTTTTCCTTTTGAGCCCATTAGTAAATGTTAGGCTAATGTAATTACCCATAGCTGCTGGGCTTTGGTAATGGAGTTGAGTTTGAGGTTTTCCTTGAATAAGTGAATCATTAGAATACTACATGTTATGACCAAAAATAAGTTTTGCTCCGTCTTTCTCTCACGAAATGTAAATGTTTTGCGTTTTATTTAGTCGAGTAGCATGCAATTCTCATACGAGGTTCGCGTTGTTTTGTTGAAGTTATATATAATCAGTTGGCATTTAGAGTATGAGAATTCAACATAACTAAATTTTAGTTTTAATGGCAGACAATTAAGCTAATCAATAATAACAATTAGAAGTTGCCAACAGTTAGAAAGATTCGATTTATGTCTATTGTTGAGGGGTTATTTTCGATACCTTATAACCATCACTTATCCTACATTTTTATGCTAAAAAAACGCCATACCAATTAACAAAAGATCTCCGCTCTTAAGCCATAGAATACCGAATGTTGTTATTAATTGAACCTATTTTTATTTTTATTTTAATAAAAAAAAACACATGTCTAAATTTGAGTAACAATATAACTTAATATTCAATATTACCGAATGTTGTTATTACTTGAACCTCTTAATTTTAGATCAAATCAATTTTTTTTTTAAATTGTTCTAAAGGTATCCCAGGCCGAAAGCCAAGAACTAATCTCCTTGAGGCGCGATTGTGAGTACAACCCAGTGTAGTCAAAATCGGAATTTTACCTAAAATCGAAAAGGGAATAAAAAATCGTAAATCGTAATAAAAATCGTAAATTTTACCTGCACTCTAAAATTAAAATTTTATATACATATGCTTATGTATAAAAAAAATTTAAGAAAAATAGACTACCTGCCACCATCCTTATACATTAGTATACAATTGTCACACTCTAAGGGTCTAAGCTAATAAATCATTCAAGTTATTATCATCGAAGATATTCTGTTCCACGTGATCTTCAACTACGTCATTCAAAATTGTCTTCATCTAAACTTTCATCATGAGATAATGTTTCTTCATTTTTCACAATCCATTCATCTTCGGATGAAACATCAGCAATGTTATATTCAACAATTTTTCTAATTTGCTTAACATAATTCCTATAGTTAAAATCGAGATTTAAATCTTAAAATCGGACTTAAGTAAATGCCTAAATCAGGATTTTATATTGGAAATGATTTTAAGTGAAATCTAAATCGTTTTAACAAAAATAAATCGTTAAAATCGGGATTTTAATATTTAAATCCCGATTTTAACTACCATGGTACAACCTCTCTCAACAAAGCTTATTCTATACTTACGACCAGGAATCGAACCCCTGTTAACATGCTTAAAGGACCCAGCTATCTACCCAATTGTGCCGAGTTTTGTTTGTGATCGTATCATTTTATATGATTGTAAGTTAGATTCTCGATCTTGATATTAAATTATATATACATATAACGGTCCTAATTTATTAAATATATGAATCGTTACTATAAGAAAATCACTACTAGTCACTAATCAAAATTTGAGAGAATAAAGAAAAATGGTTCATTTTTTATGCAGTAATTAAGTTATCTGCAGTAAGTCTAATATGACGTCGTTTTGAGAAAAAAATTATGGTATTTTTGTAATTTAAATTTATTTCAGGGTTAATATAGTCTTTATAATTATAATTATTTAATTTTTCAATCCCAAAACGATGTTGTTTTGGAAGTAAATGCAGATAATTTATCTGCAGTAACTGCAGAAATATTATTCTGAATTATCAATTAATGTTAGCTCGATTATATTATTGTTTTTACCAATTAATGTTATTACCAATGTCACTATCAATTAACGTTAGATCGATTATATTGATCCAACGTTATATTTATTTTCATTTTTAAATGGTTATGATTTCTCATATTCATTTCTTAAGTATGAGAAATCATAAATATTAAATATTAAATATAGAGAGAAAAAAAATATTTTTAGAATCTTAAATTAGAACCGTTATATATACCTAATCGATCAACAGTAAAACAAATTAATACTGATATTGATAATAATATATTAATTGATAGTAACAACGTCATCTTATATAGCATTAAAGCACACGATTTGATAATTGTAAAAACTAAAAGAGGGATGAAAAAATGAAAAGCAAAAACCCTGTTCGGTTGTGTCTTTAATCCCTTTATTATTATTATTAGTTGTATTTACTTTTGTGTTTATTAGATTAGATTTGACATATTTTGTTGCATTGGTTTTTTCCAATGATTGCCGAAACCCAAAGAATCGTCGATTCAATCAGAACATACGCGAGAACACTCCGATGTCTCCGGCGTCCCTAGTCGCCGTAGCTCCGTCGCAGTAGGACGATCTCACCTCACTTTTCGATTCAACAAATCGATGGAATCATCCAACGCTAGTGACGATAGGTTTTCGAATCTAACCGCAAACGCAAACGCAAACGCCACGACCTCATCTTTCACCTTCAGTACCCCTTCCGTTTCCGACTTTTCCAGGCCCAGATTCGTCAAGGTTCGAAAGCAAAACAATGCTCCCGCTTTCAATCCATTTCGCGATGATGGTGGTGGTGGTGGTGCTGCAAATGCCACATTTGATTTCGGTTCAAATTTGGAGAGGGGAATCGGTGATCAATTGAGGAATCTCAAAATTGGGAATGTGAAAAATGAGGGTTTCAGCGCATTTGCATGTGGTGGTTATGAGAAGAGTTCTTCCCGTGTTGGGGAAAACTTGGTCTCGAAGCTTCCCGAAGAGATGACGAAGTTGAAGATTGTAACCGAAGAAGGTACAGGTTTTAATGCTTGTGTTGAATCGGAACTCCAGAATGAGTTGAAAAAGAAATTGAGCATTCAAGAAACTCAGCAGATTGGAGGAGGTAGCAATGCAGCTTCTGAGAGCTCAACAAATGAAGTTATCTACCAAATGAAGAATGTGAATGTGAATGTGAATGATGACTCTTTTGGTGCTATTGATAATAATGTTCACAAGAGTGAAGTTGATGTAATGAGATTTGGAAAATGTGAAACGGGGACAGAGGCAATTTTGTTGAGGGAAATGGACAAGTTAAACCTTGGTAGGGAGAAGAAGGACCACTCTGTAGAACCAAATTTGTGTAACCCTTTTGTGGAGGGTATCCACCAAAGAGATGCAAGTGGTGGTGGTGGTGGTCATGTTGCTTCAGAAAAACTCAAGGAAGATATTGGAATGTCCCAAACTGCTGCATCAGCATCATCCTCTGGGTTCTTATCAGGTGGCATAAGTTTTCAACCTGTTGGAGTTACCAAGAGAGATGAATTTGTCTTTAAGGGGAAACAAGATACTTCAGGCTCATCTTTTGTTGAGTTTAAAACACCTGCACCAAAAACTAGGAAAGAAGGAAAACCGAAGGAAAAATGTAGCAACTCGAGAACGAATATAAGTGGAGCAAAACTGAAGCATTATACCTCAGCCCAGCCTTGGCATGGACAGGGTTTTGTTTTTAAGGAAAGTGTTTCCCAAGAAGATCCGCAGAGTTCTTTAGAGACTTATTCACCAATGGACGTGTCTCCATATCAGGAAAAACTGGCTGAAAATCAAAGGTCAAGGGAAAATTCTGTGACATCCAATGAGTCATTCAGTGTTGATAACAAGTCTATAGCTAATGATTCAGTACCAACAACTTCTGTTGATCCCATTGATGAAGATCTAATTGCGGCCACAGAGTGCTTGACCATAAATGGTGGTGATGTTGCATGCAGAGAAACAGAGGAGGAAACTTCAAATTCAGAGTATCCTACCCGTGAAAATATTTGTGTTGAAGACTCAAAGGAGGACTCTATTTCTGGGGTTGAAACTGAAAGCTTCAAGTCTGCCAATGATGAAGTGGACATAACAAGTGATGCGGCTGGTACATCAGCAGAAACTGAAGCCCGTGATAGTGATGGAATGTTGCATCTTGGTAGTGCTTTGAGTTCAAGAAATGTAAGTGGGTCTGCCTTCACATTTGCTGCTTCTACCTCGGTTGAAGCTCAATCTTCTAGCCCGAAACGCCATAACAAAAAGAAAAATTGGGTAAATACTGGTCATGATTCTTACAACTACCCTCCAAACACAAAGGTTCCTTATTCATCATCACCTGTGGTGTTTTCTCCATCTTCTGGAACTTCATCTCTTTTCACATCAGGGCAAGGTCTAAAAGCCAAATTACCTTCTCCTCAACCCAAAACAAGGGATTGTGATGTGAATGAGGATCAGGGTATGAAGGAGGCTTCTTTTTCTATTTCTGCTGCAACCATTGCTGCTCAGGAAGCAGCCTGTGAAAAATGGCGGCTCCGGTGAGTATATTTTTTGAAACTTCTATTATTATATTTTCTGTTAGAGATATATAAAACCATTAATGTAACTGCATCCAACAGCTTAAGCTTTTGGGTTGAATTGATTTTTTACATGGTATCAGAGCCTCAGGTATCACGAGATCAATCCTCATCGCCCCATTTAGTTAATAATTAATTAAATCTTATGGAGTTTCATATCATAGTTAGGTAGGCCTGTGCATTATCCACCTTTAAAGCCCAATGGACTCTCATGTGAGGGGACGTGCTAGAGATATATAAAAATATTAATATAACCCCATCCAACAACTTAAATTTTTGAGTTGAATTGGTTCTTTCAATTTCAGTCGCTTGTTACGTATTAAGTTTTGTTATTCTAGATAAGAAGGCGTAGCTTATTACTACTACTTCTGATCTGTGTAATGAAATAGAGTTCAATTACTTATATTTATTGTGAACGCGTACAAATGGGATTTGCACTATAAAATAGTTCCTTTGATACTTATCAACATTGCAACCGTTATTCACACGTTGAATATGCTCTATATCAGAGGAAACCAAGCCTACAAAAATGGGGATTTGTCTATGGCTGAGAATTGTTACAAACAAGGACTTAGTTGTGTATCTAAAGAAGAAGCATCTCAGAGCTGTCTCAGGGCTTTGCTGCTATGTTATAGTAACCTTGCTGCCACACGCATGTCTCTTGGTAGGATGAGGGATGCACTAGAAGATTGTTTGATTGCTGCTGAAATAGATCAAAATTTCCTCAAGGTGCAACTTAGAGCTGCAAAGTAAGTTTCCATTTTTTCTTCTAGTCAATTTATACCCAGTGATTTTAGTTGTATGAATTTTAATTTTAATGTAGGATGACAGAAGCCTTAAGATATAACAGATCAAAGTTAGGGTTTTCTTGAGTAGAAAATAGGTGCATAAAAGTTGAATGTAAAGGTGGGTGTGCAGGTGCTCTAGAATCAGTGGCTGTTTGAGTGCTATAACCAGTACCAGTGGGATTAAAAGTGGATCTAAAGAGGGAAACCTTTTTCCCCTATGAAAGTATGAATACATTAGTATCTAGCACCTAATGCCTGATTGTTATTTATAATATGTAAATATGCAAGTGTCTAGTACCTTGCATGCTCATGCTTCATGTGTATATTTTTAAGCGTCAAGATAGATGGTTGTATCCCTTAAGTCATTTTGTTTTCATTCTTGTTTAAGTTGTTACCTTGCTCTGGGGGAAGTTGGAGGTGCATCACAATATTTCAAAAGGTGCTTGCAATCAGGAACTGACATTTGTGTAGATCGAAAAAGTGCTGTGGAAGCCTCTGATGGCTTACAAAAGGCACAGGTTTGATTATTTATCATTATTTTTAGTAGATAACTTGATATATTGTGGAGGCTTTAATTGTTAGCTTTTTCCTTTGGTTAAAGATTTTTAATTAGCTACAGGCTGCACGTGCAATGAGGTAATATTGGAAACCTCTTACACCAAACTGGTTTGATATCAATGAGAAAACTTTCACAAAATTTTAAAGTGCATTTAGTCATTTTTAAGTAGAAGTTGTTTTTTTACTATATATTTCAACATTGGATTTTGGGGCATAATGAAGAATTCATGACAAGGTATTTTAAGATTTTCTCTCTTATTTCTCGAAACATGTATCTAGTATATGTTTTTAGAAATATTGGAAATATTTTTATAATGATATAAGTGTTAAAATATTTTGTCAAATTGGAGACAGAAGAGAGAGATTGTATGTTGTTGTTTTGTGCAATCACATTCTACTGCTTGATGGATGTGCTAATTTTGCATTTCCTTCTTCATTCTCCTTCACAAGATCCCAAGGTTTTTGAATTTATAATTTTTTAACTTGTTATGGCATGAGGGTTCGTCCCCCTCTTCCTGAACTGATTAGTGTTTGTAATGGATGACAGAAAGTATCAGATTTCATCAATCATTCTGCTGAGCTTTTGCAAAGAAGAACATCCTCTGATGCAGAGAAGGCATTAGATCATATTAATGAGGCATTGGTGATAAGTTCATACTCCGAAAAATTGCTTGAAATGAAAGTAGAGGCTCTTTTAATGGTTAGTACAACTTATGATAAGCTGGAATTTTGCTTAAGCTTAGATCATATCAAAAGTCAGCATAAGTCTATTTGCAGTAATTTATACCAATTGACTCTGTGTTTGGACAATTCTTGCTTCAAATATCAGCTGTGTAGATATGAGGAGGTGATTCAGCTGTGTGACAAGACCCTTGGTTCTGCTGAGAAGAATGCTTGTCCATTGGATGCTAGTTGCCAAGTCACAGATCTGAATAATTCACAACTCTCGAAAGGCTTCTACTTCAGACTATGGCGGTGCTCAATGATGCTTAAAGCCTACTTTCACCTAGGAAAGCTTGAAGAAGGTCTTTCTTTGCTGGAGCAACAAGAGGAAAAGTTGTCTTCCATAAACAAGTAAGTATTACCAACCTCTGACCCATTCACCCTCCTCTGCCCCCTCCTCAAGGGTAAACAGAAATAAGGCAAAGAAAAAATGATTATGTTTGACAGCGATAATGATCTTTTTTTTCATCAGCTTTGATATTGTCCATGCAGGAGTGGAAGAAAGGTTTTGGATTCACTTATACCACTAGCTGCCACCGTACGTGAGCTCTTGCATCATAAGGTTAGCTAATACTCTATTTCATGATATCTTTCTGATGATTATTGATATTATCATTCTTGTTTGGTTAATAGCTAGAACATTTCCGCTGTTCAAAGTAACTATACAATGTTTTTTGTCGTGTGAGTTAATTATAATGTTTCCTATTTTACTTGAGTGAACCATTTTGTTTCTAGTATACTGTTTTATAGCCAATAATTTTGAACTGACTTTTAAAATGAAGTTTGGGAAGAGACGCGTTAGCATTGTAAATCTTTTCATCTGCAATCTATTTCTTTCTACTGATCGTGCTTGCTGTTGCTCTAGGCGACAATCGTTCTGCATATACTATCATGTCTGAATTTGTAGAAAGAAATAGACAAAGGAAGAAAATTGCTGTGTACTATAGAATGTGATTCACTTAATTGATTGTTTTAGGGTGCATTTGGATAAGCTTTGAAAAAAGCGCTATCATGATATAGGTTTTTTCAGAGCCTTTTTCAGAGGCTACTCTTTTTAGCTTATGAGAAAAGCACTAAATTTTTTTTATTTTATTTTAGGTTTTTGTTTTTGTTTTAAAAAAATTATCTAATTATCATATAAATTTTTTAACATTTTTAATTGAAAAGAACTTTATTCTTTAAAAAAGGACAAACAAACAGGTCTTAGGCTCACTGTATATGTATTTATATTAAATACTGAGGATTAGTTCAAGTATAGTACAACTTGTGCAAGCCCATCTCAGTACCCCTTAAACACACTGACACAATAATATGCTGTAGTTCCTTTGTACTTCTATACTCTTCTCTAATACAACTTTTCCGTCATCAAAAGACACAAGAAAAACAATTTATGTGCCACATTGATGTTGTATTCTAAGAATTTTTCATTAGTCTAATTCATTCTGTCCTTTTCCTGTAACATGAAATTTGTTTTTGATTAGGATTTATGTAAACCTATTCAATTGTAGATTGCAGGGAATGAAGCATTTCAGGCTGGAAGACATGCAGAAGCTGTTGAACATTATACATCTGCTTTATCATGTAATGTGGAGTCTCGTGCATTTGCAGCTGTCTGTTATTGTAATCGTGCCGCTGCATATAAAGTATTAGGTCAAATAACCGAAGCTATTGCAGACTGCAGTCTGGCTATAGCTCTTGATGGAAATTATATGAAGGTTTTTATCTTCAGCTGAAATTATTTTTTTTATTTTTTTTCCGGAGATTTATTAATTGAATCTGATGAGTCTACCCGGACATATAGAACAATTATACCTAGGGTCATGAAAAAAAAATCTTAGGTATACCTCTTACAAGTTACAACTATTATATTTATACCCCTTCTTATAGCATAGAAATCCTAACTGGAAACAAATAGATATAATCCTAGCCATCTAAATTAATTAACTTGAATAAAAAGAAAGTAAAAGACAAAAACAAAAATCTAAAAAATTAAACGGCTACATTGCCCAGGCTATAATAGTATGATCTACAATAGCCCAAACACAAGCCCAGCATTTAGTTATAATTGTCCTCCTTTTCCCTGCATCAGAACCCATGAGGATTAGACACAAACCTGACATTTAGTTATAATTGACCTCCTTTTTCCTGCCCAGGCTGGGAAAATTGATGCAGAAAATAATTAATATTTGAGATTAATAGATATTTCATTTACTCAAGTAATTGTTCATTGTGTTTAAGAGTACAACTGCTAAAGAGTTATGGTTGTGTGTATTTGATAAGTTAATGAAGCCTAGGAAAGTCAAACTTTGTAATTAGGGGTCCAATTTAATTACAGGAAGTTCAAAAGTTATTAATTTAGTCACTTAAGAGTCTAGTCAGTTCTAGTGTACTATGGGATCTATAAATATTTATTCTCTTTGCACTTCTAAGGCAGTTCAGAACAATATTCAGTAAAGTATGTCCAGAATATATCTTTCGGTGTTTCTTTTCAACATAGGATCAGGATTCTGATAATATGAGATATCTGTCCATGGAGGTGGATTTCTCCCTCACCAACACTCATTCCAAATACCTACCCAACTTATCCCCATATTTCCTTTCAATCCAATCCTAATTCTATACAATTTCCTCGGCTTCTTTTTAAGAAGGCCTCTTGAAAGAGCTCTTCATCACGTCTGAGTGTCTAACGAAGAAGCTGAGTTTATATTTAAAAGAAACCCTGTCCTAAACCCACAAGCAAGCAAGAAAATTATCCTATACCAAAGAAGATTTACTGGCCAAAACCACTGTCTGAAAATTCCAGCATTTTACTCTAACAAAATACACATCCGCAATGAGGTGGACATGGCAGCACTTTTTTTTTCCTTTTGGTTTACTGAAATGATCGCCTGCTAGAACGATTTGATCTTGATATAGGTGTGAAATGATTTTTATTGACTGGATTCATTTTGTTTTGGTGCAAAAGCTTCTATGTAAACCTTCATGACAGAAATAATTGTTCAAGTCAAACATAGAAACTAGTAATAATCTGTAGCCTAGTTTGATGGGCATTATCCATACTCAATTGATAGCGGATCCTGATAGATGCTACCATTAGAATTTAAAATTCTCCTATTCTTCCTTCCTGTTTAATCTGTATTAATTTTTGGATTTTAAAATATATCTATTTTTACATGCTATTTAATGAATTATTTTATTTAGGATTTTATTTGCATGTATATTATGTGATAATATGAAAAAAAATGTTTTGATACTCTTGCAGGCACTTTCTAGACGTGCAACTCTGTATGAGATGATCAGAGATTATGCCCAAGCAGCCAGTGATCTTGCGAGACTTGTCTCTCTTCTCAGTAAGGAGGTGGATAATGCCAATCAGCTTGGAATATCTGATAGATCAATTAATTATACTAATGATTTGAAACAGAATCGTGTTCGGTTTTCTGAAATAGAGGAGGAAGCCAGAAAGGAGATCCCTCTCGATATGTACCTCATTTTGTAAGCTCTTTACTAATAATTAGTACTTCGTTATCTTGTCATCTATAACATATCAATGAAAACCCCATTTGTCAAGAAAACATTTTCCTCTAAGGCACCATCATTTCTACTTTTGTGTGTATTTCTATGTCAAAGCTATAAGATATATCAATCCATTTATGAGGATGAAATGGGAAAGTGTTGGACATTCAGGGTAGATGTTAGAATCTTCCTACTTTTTTGGCAACTTTAAGGATCCATTATTCAATATCTAGGGTCAGAAACTAAATAAAATTCATCTTAGGATTTGCAATTGATTTAGGATTGATAAGCTTAATGTTTCATGAAAAAAAATTGACTCATATAGAAGGAATGGATTTATAACTATTCAAAGCCTGCATGTAGGTATTAATTCCCTAAAAATGTATCCAGAATCCAAAAAAGTTTATTATGCAAGAAAGAGGCTCAAAATTTGGAAAATATGTCATCTTTCTGTTGGATTATTAGAAAGTATATATATATGATCCATTATCATTGTAAAACTTCTTATACTATCAATAAACAAGATTGTCCTTCTGTTCCCTTGATTCTGACTTTGGAAAAACATGATTGTCATTTAACTTTTATTAAACAGGAATTACTGAAAATTTTGGTAAAGATTCAACTAAAAAGTTATTGTATAAATTTGAGGAGTTACCAAGGTACTCTCTTTTCAAGGTATTGGTACCTTAATTAGTTGTCAAACATATATTGTGAAAATCAGCACTCAATAGATGTTGATAACCTATCAAGGTATTGGTATCCTGGAAAAAGACATGGTGGACAGCAAGGATTTATTTTGATGCTGTGCTGTTTTATAATTGTCATCATTCCACGTGTAAGTTGTGTTTGAAGTATGATAGAGTAAGAATAATGCTAAAACCTATCTGTTGCTAATTGAGGGAAATATTATCATTCATTTAACCCATTGGCTGATTGATATTATGATGGCAGGGGAGTTGAACCGTCTGTTTCAACATCTGAAATCAAGAAGGCCTATCGGAAAGCTGCACTTAGACATCATCCGGATAAGGTTTTTTGATTGGACACTTGGTTTGATGCTCCTATATTAACCACTCTTTTAACATTTTATTTTTTTCTGTAGGCTGGCCAGTCTTTGACAAGAAGTGACAATGGAGATGATCGGACATGGAAGGTGATTGCTGAAGAAGTACATAGAGATGCTGATAGGCTTTTCAAAATAATTGGGGAGGCATATGCTGTCCTGTCAGATCCTGCCAAGGTATTTTATATGTTTTCAAATAACAAATGTTGCTGAGAAGCCTGCTCTATATGGTTTTACACTGAAAGGTTCATATTTTATAAAGCCCAATGGCGTCAATTGATCCATGAATCCCATGTAGTCCATAGTGGGATAAGGATTTGTTGTTGTTGACATGTTGTCCACTAAGAAGCTTCTTTGTCTTAAAATTAAGGCAAGTAACAGCTGCCATTGACCTTCGATCCGTAGCTCATATATAGCAAATAGGAATTGAAAATTTTTCTTAGCTTAGTTGGAAACCAAATGCTTAGATGCGTCTAAACATTGTTTACAGTGAAGGATCAAGGGTGCAAATTTTAATGTGTTTCCTTCCTAGGTCACTAACACCAAATTGCTTACATTTTTAATTTCTAGCCGAAGACCTAATTGCTTACTGTAACATGATCTTGGATGAAAATGGAAAAACGCAGTTTGATATTTTTTCTGATTATGAATGATGTTTAGTATACAAGAGCTCTGAAATAGCAAATGATAAATGTGCATCAATAACAGCGGCGGATGAGAAAATTTTAGGACAGTCCTAGAAAAATAAGAAATAAGAAATAAATAAATAACTGCTTTCCTTCTCCATTTACGAAAGAATCAGTATATAAAGCGGGACCTTAAAGTGCTTGTAAGTTTATTAGTCCCGCACAAACGAGATAATCAAACATGTTTCATGTACAAGTTTTTAAGCTTTGAGCAGATTATGTTGTGTGTTCATTTGGATATTTCATTTTGCAGCGTGCACGATATGATGCAGAAGAAGAAATGAGGAATTCCCAAAAGAAACGCCATGGATTTATGGCTAGGAATAATGTGGATACACAGTATTACCCATCTGAACAAAGCAACAGGAGACAGTGGAGAGAGGATTGGAGATCATATGGTAGTAATCTATCTTCTCGAGGTTCTGAACCTGGGCGATCAAGTAGGAAATAGGAAAATCTGTGTGGAATGTTAATTCAGCTAGGATTTGGATTGCAGTTTGACTCATCGAGTGTGGGCTAGTTTTTTTTTTTTTAGTTTCCCAACCGGTTCATCTTTCGGATTACATCCGGTTCAAGCACTTGTCGGATTCTATCAAAGGGGAAAGCTCTCCCAAATCTTTTTTATTTATTTCCAGGGCTCGAACTCGAAACTTCTAGTTAAGGAGTCCAGACTCCTTACCATCTATGTCAAGGGTGTTTGATGAATGTGGGCTAGTTAGGTGTTGCTTTTGGCCTGCCGAATTTATGCATTATGGTTAGTTCGGTGATGCATTTATTCAGATGTTATGTGGCTTCAATCTTTTGGGTTAGAAGAGGTCCAGTAGGTATACAAGTCTTCAATCGATGACATAGCAGTTGGAGAAGCTGGGCTGGTCAATGCTTCGGGAAATAGAAAAATTCTCTTGTCAAGAGAAAGACAACCCGGTTGCATGCTATAAGCATATTGTCTTTTTTACCCTGATTATGAATTTGAGCAAGGAGTTGGTATTTTAGCTTGGCTGATAACCAAAACATGAAAAGGAAGCTTGAAAATTTTGAAATAGGGTTAAGTGAGAGATCTGATTTTTTGAGATATGTAAATTTTATAGACACTTATCAGAAAGTTAATATTGAGATGTACAGACGAAATTAAATTGTAATGCCACTTCAAAGATTGTAATTACCACAACACCAGTTCCAGTTGGGCCTTATTCAGGAAGGCGGTCTTTTACATCCATATTTTCTTACTGTATCTATTTGTTTATCACAACATAATTTCAATACTTGTGATTGTTGTTTAATTGTTTCATTATTACATTGTTCTTTTAGCCATTCTCTAAGTATTTTTATTCGTCCACCTAATGTATTTTCTACTTTTCCTTCTTCTCGAGTTTAAGAATACAATTTTTCTAAGGTTTGACTAATATTCTGAGGTAGCTTCTTATAAAATATATCTAATGCTTGAGTTTTTTGTTCTCCATTTAATTGATAAAATTGACTACTAAATTCACATATAAAATTTTCTAAATAACACATATTACATATTCTCATGTTTGTTATATGCCAAAATGCTAATTCTTGAAAAGTTTGTTGTGCAATTTCTGAATTCGTTGATCCTATAAATTCTTTTTCTATAGATGTTACTATATTTTGAAATGTGTTTAATGCATTAATTCCATGAAATAATTCTATTTGTATTCCTGATAGTCCTTGTAGCCATCGTAAAACATTTTCAGTTGTTTTGTGTGTAATACAATTAAACATTTCTCCTGGTTGCAGATTTTTAATGTCTTCTTTTAATTGTATATTTACACTATGCCTATTACTCCAATTTTGTAGGATTTCATATGGGTTTACTTTACAATCTAAACCTAATAAATCTTCTCTTCCAATTATTTCTAGTTTTGGTTTATACTGTTCTGGTATATAATTCCATTGTCCATTTTTATTTTTTGTATAGCCGTATCTATATGGTATATTCTCATAATCTCCATAGTACATTTTTTCATAATTTCTTTTCTTTTCTGGTTGACTAGTTCCTTCTTCTGTTTTTACAAAAAATGTTTCATTATAAGGATTTTCATAGGGATTTTCTTCTGATGAATAATCAAAAATTACTTCTTCAGTTTCTATTAGATTTTCCTCCTCATCTTCTTCTATATTCATACTTGCCATTAGCTTTTCTAATTTACCAATTGTTTCTTCTAAATTCATACTTTCTTAGGAGGCTGTATTTTTAAACTAGTTATTGAGGATGATGAATCTAATATTTCTAGTGATTTTTCTAAATCTGATATAGTTAAACCTTTTTGTTTATATAGTTCTTTAATTAATATTTTAATTTCTTCTATATTTGGGTGTTTATTTACTTTTTCTTCAATATTTATAATTCTTTTCTTACTTTCTTCTATTTCTGGTTCTATTTTATTGGAACAACTACAGTTTATTAAATATACTAACATGTCTGATATATTATTTAATTGTGGGTCGAAAGTGTGATATAGATGTGGCCATTTTCCATTTTCTACACATGGTAATTTATGTTCATCTTCTATTGCATATTCATAAGGTTTATATTTTCCTTGAATATATTCCGTACTAAAACAAGGATTCTCTACGAAAGGATCTTGTATATATTCTAAATAATTTTTCTTTAAACTTAAAATTTTTTCTTCTAATTTTTCTACTTTTTGGACTAAATTATTTAATATTTCTAAAACAGTACTCATTCATTCATTTTTTGGAACTCGATTACCGAGCTCTGATACCAATTTTTCTAATACGAATACAATTTTTCTAATCCGAATAATTCGAACTTGTAATAATTTATTTATCATTTTGGTAATCCTTCAGGTATTTCTTTAAAGATTTGTTCTATATTATTTAAAATAGATAAATATTGATGATATTCTGGATTATGTGTATCTTGGGTTTCTTCGTATTTTAATACTTTTTGATTTAACCAATTTTCTGCAGTTTTTAACATTCGAGCTCCCTTGCATTCTGCAGTTTTTTAATTATTACATATAATTTGTCTTCTAAAATTATTTCTATAATTTGCTTTTCTATCATTATGATAAATTTCTTAGTTTTTCTTTGAAATATGTTATTATGGGTTTTATTATTCTTAAATTTTCTTTAATAATATATCTTTCTTCATATATTTTTTATAGGGATATTTTCTAGAATTATTTTTCTTTTTTCTAATTTTCTTTTTATTCTTATAATATTTATTCTATCTCTTAAAATTTGACCTTTTTTAATTATTTCATATTCTAATATTACTTGTTTTTCCTTCAATGTTCTTTTCTTAGTAATTATGAATCCAGACAATAATAATACTGCTATTGAATAATTCATATCTTATTATTCAATTCATCTAATTTTCTATTTAATTGACTGATGGCTTCTTCTCCTTATATTGAATTTCTTCCTCTTATAATATCCATTGGTGGTTGAATTCTTAATGATTGTGTTCTTCTAAAATTTGGTTCCTTTTCTCTCATATTTTCTATTAATCTTGAATTCTTATTTCATTTAAATAAACTCTGATTTGATTCTAATTCTAATAAAAGAGTAAAAAGTTTATCTATCCTTATTTTTTCATCTTGTTTAAAACTAATACTATGATGACTATTTGTTAGTGCATAATTAATTTTATATGTTATAGTAAATGGATGATTTCATGTTTTAATAAATCTTTCTCTGTCTAATTTGTAATTAATTACTATTGATCCTGAAAGATTTCTATCTTCTATGCTTAGTCCTAGCTGTAAGTTTATGTCAAATTTAATTTTTCCTTCTTTTAAATTTCCTTTTCCTTTGGCTATTAATGCTTCTTGTTTATTTATTATTCTGTCATCTCTTATTTCTAAAGTAATTGGACTTTCTATTCCTTCTAAAAATGCAGATTTTATTAATATCTGAATAGTAGATATATGTATATATCCTATTTTATTTCGTTCTTCCGGTTTAATTTTTTCTAAACGTTTTCTAATTTGCTCATCATTTATAACGGGGACTACTAGTTTTCCATCTGTTTGTTCCATTAATATAGCTTCTTCGCCATACATGAATCCATATTTTATTATATTATTTCTAGATACTAAATTAGTAAATCATTTTAATAATGATCTTTCAAAGTTATGTTTTTCTTCTAATGATAAGTCTTCTTTTCTAATTTTACTTCAATTTATAAATCCATCAAAAGCAAAAATAGACCTTTCTTCTTTATGGTTTTTAATTTGTATATCTTGATTGATTATAGATTTATTGTCTTCCATTGTATTTATTCTCTAATTCTTTCCAAATTTGATATTCAGATAATTTTTTTCTTTCTATCTTTATATTATCAATAATTATGTAATCTTCTGTAAGAGTATAATCTATTAAATTTAAAAAATCAGTTCCTAGCAATAACTGATTATTTCCTTCTTCTACAATTATATTTAATTGATATTGTATAGCTTCATCAAAATATAAGGTTATATATGCTGATTCTAAAAATGTTACTTCTTCCTTACTAGAGTTAATAATGGTTCTAGGTGTAAATAATTTTGAACTTGTCGAAATATATTTTCGTGAAATATGAGACCATGATGCTCCGGTATCTATTAGTGCAGGAATTATATGCATATTATCTAAAATAATCATAACATGATATTGCAAATAATGTTGTTCATATAAAGATACTAAATCAAAGCTTCTCATAAATAAATCTGACATGATCCGATGATTTCTGAATAACTTCTTTTTATTTCATAAAATGATAGTACAAGGTAGCTGCTCCAGAAATCGCTTTCACTCAGATCTCAACAGACTTTTTACTCAATACTGAGTAAAGAAGAGAGAGTGTTCTCACTCAATCTAAGAGTTTACAACTCAACTTAACTCTCTACCTTCTCATTTCGAGACGAGACTCTTATTTATACTACTATATGACTCAGGCAAAATGCCTTCCTTGCCCTTACAGCTGTTAAAGCAAATTACATTATTGATAACAGACAAATAACTTTAACAATTACATGTCTTCTTTTTCAACTTAATAGTCTTACGCATGTTGATATGTCACTTCTTCATAATTGTCTTCAATTATTGCTTCTTCTTCTTCTTCATTTTTTGGGCAACATGGACATTTCTTTAAGTGACTTTCGTAGTTACCAAGACTAGTACAGATGACTAAAATAATTTCATCAGGTAATGTGTCTAACTGTTCACTCATTGTTTCAAACTTATCTTCAAAAAAATTTGGCTTCTTCCTGCGAATCTTTACTGTAGATGATGGATATAGGGTTGTAATAGTTTAGCATGTATCCACTTTTATTCTGTAAAGGATTGGAATCAATTCGTCTTGATGCCATATATACTTTTGCTATTTCTCTTCCATATATTTCAAAAGTTGGGGACATATTTATTGGTATTTCTTCCTTGTCGTTAGTGGGATATGAATCGTTAGAAATCCCAATCATTGACACGGAAAAACTTGGTATTAACATCTCTCCCTCCTCTGCAAGCAGTGGAAAAGAACAATGAGTCCTTAAGAACAAGGATCTATCCTCAGCAAACCTTTCCTTGTATTCTTTAATGGCTGTCTGCATCTTCATAGGGAACTCTCTGAATACATTCAAATTGTCAAAATAAATTGTATCAGTGAATCTATGAATAAAATATTCATAAACAACCATTGAATCAGCCATTGGGAAAAAGATAACTTTGGGTCCTGCATAAGGGTCTCGTCTTTTTGGATAAAAATTCATAGTTGTGTGAAATTCAGTATAATGAACAACTGAATCCCATAACTATTCAAACTTCTTGATTGAAGGCTGCTTTCTTTCGATATGCTGTCTTGTAGTTGGAATATTTTGAATCAACTTTATATTTTCTGATTTCAAGATAGTCTTCTTCTTTTCATCTTTGACTGTTGGGATGATATCTCCTTTGACCATGACTTTGTAGGCTTCGTGAAAGGCTTTTTCAGCTTCATCCTTTGTTGGATAAGATTTATGAGTAACTGGTTTTCCTCTAATATGTTGATTTGCTATAGCCCAGTTGTTGTATATTCCTTTAAATGGTCCATCAAAAATGACATACCATTTTTCCTTTTTTGAGCTTTCTGATACAATTCTTTCAATTACTTCATCTGTTTTTTCTGAAAGAGGTTGAAACTTTCTCCCTTTCTATAATGTCTTCTGATCTTTTATTTCCCCTGAGTATGACAATAGATTGT